GGGCCCCCCTCGCCCCCGCCGCCGTCGCGGATGCGCGCGCCGGAGCACCGGCGAGAGAGGCTGCAAAGTATTCGCCGTTTCATCAAAGGGCATATATATTACTTGGCCGGCTCGCTCCCGCTGCTGGTTTTGCGCCCACCCCTTTTCCGTCTGCCCATGCCTGCGCCGCGCAGTGCAGGCGTACAATCCTGAGCAGCTTACGACACTCAGTGAACACTAGGTGCCTCTGCATGCTCTCGCAACACACTGCTCAGCTGAAGGGAAGGGATATCTCGCTGTCTCTCTCTCTCTCGGCTCTAAGCATCACCTAACGAGCAAAGCGAACAAAGAATGGGAAATAAAGCTACCCTTAGCCGGTCAGTGAATGAAGGGCAATCTCTCTCTATGGAGTAAAAGGTTGTGCCGGTCAGTGGTCGTCGCAAACGATGGACCTTGAGCAGATTGCCAAAGCCGGCGGAGTCGTTAGGGAAGAGTTTGGAGTTTTTTTCGCGGCACAGTGGTAACCGCAGAGAAAAAGGACAGAGGGAGAAGGAGAAGATCGAGCTCATGCACATAGTTCTGAAACTTGCAGGTCCTAGAAGTCAGCTAAAAAGCTAGCTGGACAACCCTCTAGCTCTCTGAGCAGAAGCAAAGTAAGACATTGTGAGCGTGCCAGCCTTGCACACCACTGAAAGGGACTGCATTTGTAGCACAGAGGGGTCTTTTTTAGCTCCGCATATAATTAGTCCAAACACAAAGGAAGCAACTGAATGGAGGTTGTCACTCTCTGGAAAAGGGTGGGTAAGACACTTTTTAATTAAATTCTTTCATGAAGAAAGATCTTTTTTTTTTTTTTTTTCCTCTCCTTTGCTGCAGCATTTAACATGAACAAAATCACTATCGTTTTACCTTTGAATGTCTGTGAACTTTAACGCTGCGCAGCTCCTGCATGCTGTAAAGTGAAATATTTGGCTCTGTGTCTGTTACGTCTTTTTTTTTTTTTTTTTTTTCCCCCTCCCCCCCCCCCCCCCCCCCCATTTAAATAAAATATGATGTAGAATGCGAAACGATTCAATGGACATTCTCGAGCACATTTGGAAATATTATTGCTAATGGATTTCCTTCTCATTGGTCTCTGTTTAAACTGGCTGCTGAGGAAGCCCCCGGGGTTGATTTTGTGTACGCTGGGTATCGTTTCTAAAATGCTGCCAGCCGTGAATAGTGGGTGTCCGCAGCTCTGTCGGTGCGAGGGCAGGCTTTTGTACTGTGAATCACTGAATCTCACAGAGATGCCTCGCAACCTGTCGGGCATGATGGGCTTGTCTCTGCGGTACAACAGCCTTTCAGAGCTGCATGACGGACAGTTCGCGGGGTTAATGCAGCTCACGTGGCTCTATCTGGATCACAATCACATCTGCTCGGTGGAGGGGAATGCCTTTCAAAAATTGCGGCGGGTGAAGGAGCTCACCCTGAGCTCCAACAAAATCACCCAGCTGCCCAACACCACCTTCCGCCCCATGCCCAACTTGCGCAGTGTGGATTTATCGTACAACAACCTGCAGGCTCTGGAGCCGGACCTCTTCCACGGGCTGCGGAAGCTCACCACGTTGCACATGCGGTCCAACGCCATCAAGTTTGTGCCCGTGAGAATTTTCCAGGACTGCCGCAGCCTGAAGTTTCTAGATATAGGATACAATCAGTTAAAGAGCCTGGCTCGAAACTCTTTTGCGGGCTTGTTCAAACTCACCGAGCTCCACCTCGAGCACAACGATCTGGTGAAGGTGAATTTAGCCCATTTTCCCAGGCTCCTCTCGCTGCACTCCCTCTGCTTACGGAGGAATAAGGTCACCATCGTGGTAAACACTTTGGACTGGATATGGAAACTGGAAAAGATGGATCTGTCGGGCAACGAGATCGAATACATGGAGCCTCACGTTTTCGAGAGCGTGCCCCACCTCAAGTCCCTGCAGCTGGACTCCAACCGCCTCACCTACGTCGACTCGCGCATCCTCGCCTCCTGGAAGTCCCTCACCAGCATCAGCCTGGCCGCCAACGCCTGGGACTGCAGCCGCAACGTGTGCGCCCTGGCCTCGTGGCTGAGCGACTTCAAGGGTCGCTACGATGGCAACCTGCTCTGTGCCACCCCCGAGTACGCCCAGGGCGAGGACGTGCTGGACGCGGTGTACGCCTTCCACCTGTGCGAAGACGCGGCAGACCCCACGAGGGGCGACCGGACGACGGACGCCGTCCCCGTCACCGTGCCCGGTGACAACGCCGAGAACGCCGTGCAGATCCACAAGGTGGTGACGGGGACCATGGCGCTCATTTTCTCCTTCCTCATCGTGGTTTTAGTGCTGTACGTCTCCTGGAAGTGCTTTCCAGCCAGCCTACGGCAGCTAAGACAGTGCTTTGTGACACAGCGCCGAAAGCAGAAGCAAAAACAGACCATGCACCAAATGGCTGCCATGTCAGCCCAGGAATATTACGTTGACTACAAACCCAACCACATCGAAGGCGCCCTGGTGATCATCAACGAGTACGGGTCTTGTTCCTGCCACCAGCAGCCAGCCAGGGAATGCGAGGTGTGATTTTCCCCGGGGGGTGGGAGGGGGATTTAAGCCGCGTGCGACCAAATAACGGCGTGCAGCCAGCCCGTGGCGCGGGGGGCTGCCGTGCCGTGCTGGTGATTTCCGAGGCACTCCTTGGCTGAAATTGTAAGAGGCTCGGTCTCAAAGACTTGACGTTTTAGCTTTATCGTGTCTTAAAACCTTCAGGACGGTCAATCTTAAGGTTTCATATGATACTACTCCCTTTGAAGACCTGTCAGTATTCAGGAATCTGAGAGTGTAAAAAAAGGTACCGATTATTGATCTTTTGTAAACTAAGAGAAACGTTTAAAATAAAACAAAATAGCATTTACAGTTTTTACAGACTGGTGTATGTTACCTGAATTGTTCCCTGTATACAAAATGCAACAGTTTAACCTCTTTTCTCTTCATGCTGAGTGTTGAAAGGCAAAAGCCTAGGAGCAAAGGAGCCACACAAAATAGGGAGATTCAAATTAACCAGATGGCTTCACTTTGTAATTATTACACATTCACTTACATCATGTTACTGGAGATATAAAGCATGACACTGGAATTATATTTTTGTTAATGTGCTACATGTACTTGGATGTCATTACAACAAGGAGCCAGCTCACCTCAGAAAAGCTGAAGTTCTGACCGTGTCCCTAGGACAGTATTTCTGAGGACTTCTTTTAAAGACAGCTCACTTGTAAGTTGCTTTAAGACCCATAAAAAACTGCAGTACGGCCCCTAAAACTATTTTGTATCAAAACCGATGGTATTGCAAAGTGTCAGTGAAAAAAAATAACAAAAAAAAAAAACCCCACACATAACCGAAACACTGCCGAGAAAGTGCTAGCCATCCTTTTCTTTAAAAAAACTACAAAAAAGGATAAAAAACCTAAACTGAAGGGCTCATTGCTAGCATTTCCCACCTCTGTGCTTGCTCTGAAAGATGCTGAGAGCAGAGAAACCACAGCTATGTGCACGGGAGATCTGAGATGGAAAAAGAGGAGAAGCGAAACAGTTTTCGGGGTGAAACCTTGCTGTGTTGCCGGGGTGAAACCTCGGCTGTAACGCTGCGAGAGAGCGATTAGAGCATACTTCTGGTTACTACAGTAAACTGCTAGAAAAGCCTTTCTCGTGCCCGTCCCCTGCAGCAGCAGACTTCACTAACATACGACTCGCTAAAACATCTGCAGAGGATGCAAGTACACGAACCCTCTCTACTAATTACTGATATGGAATTTATGCATATAAGCAGTGGTTTAATAATGTAGAATCACACAGCTGTTTTATTTGACTGCCCTTAAATAAAGGCTTCCTTTCCTTGCATTTTGGATTTTTCATTCCAGTATGTGAACAACCTGCTGATGGATCTTGTGAGCAACTCCTCTCGTACTGATGAAAATGAAATACCGTTTTATAACATCAGCAAGAGCAGCTCAGAAATTTCTTTATATAGCATTACATTCTAATAAAATGTTACCAGTAAAGAATTGGGTAATATCTCTATACTTTGCACATATTTCTCTCTCCTTAGGTTACCATCAATAGAGGAAGAAAATAAGAAATTTAACACACAATTTAATTTAGTATAGCTTCGTTAGTTTTTAGAGCATCAGAGTGCCACCTACTCTAAAAGACAAATAAAACAGAGAGTAGGCACAGATCAAGCCATTTTTTTTTCATGCATAGCAGCTTTTCAGCCATTAATTTTAACCAGGAAGAGTGAATTTTATATTTTTTTCTAACTGAGACTATTTTTTAAGGAGTCAAAACTTATTTTCCTCTATTTGGGACATTTCATCCTGTTCAATATTAAACCTCAGACAGCCTTCTAACCAACATTTTTTATCTAAGGAGACTATAATGTTATTAGTGAAAGCAATGAGAATATGGACTGGGTGAGGATTTTTTTTCATAGGAAATGTAATAAAAGTAAACTGATCTTTTATTAAAGCCACTTACAGCTCACCCACAGCTTTGAAACAAGCTGTTGCTGGTAAAGCTAGGCTCTTATATATGTAGGCAAACATACATCTCTGTCTCTATGCCTCAAACTCCCAAGGGCCTGATCCATCCTAAAACTCCAATTGCTTGGGGAGATTGAGTGGCCCTATGTGAATTTAATACTTTTTGGTACAGCAGGAAAGGAGCCCCTTGCCCGTTTGGGTGCCTGATCCTATTTTAAGGGAAAATATCTTATGCCATGCCAACTGAGGGCCAAATCATGTATTTGATTAAAACCTTTTCCGAAGCCAGTCAGGATTTTAACTGTGAAAGATCAAAAAATGTGGCTATCTTTGAACTATATCCACATGCAGCACTGCAATCAGAAAGCCTGAATACATCTAGTTGCCAGGATGCTTCCAAAAGCAGCTGAGATTGCTAAAATGCTGTCTATACATGGTTTTAAAAAAAAAAAAAAAAGAAAAAGAAAAGAAACAAATTATTTTTACTTCTATGGTGACCCCCTGTTGCTATAAGGAACCGTACTAGCATAGTCACGTTTTTGTCCCTGCAAATGTGACGCGAGACCGACGCACACAAACAAAACATCCCGTGGTTGCACTTCTTTGTATTTTCAGCATATTTGTGGGTTGTATTTTAAACACACTAGTGATTGCACACCTCGGGAATTATTCATGCTGTTTACCGGTGTGAGCAATCTCGAGCAACGTTTGTGAGACTTGAGCAATTCCACCTCGGCAATTTATTCTCCTCTGTGCTTCATGCATCTTGCATCGACAGCTTAAGTAAACTGCACACAACATTTCTTTTCTTTAAAGGTGCAGTGCTTTTGTAAGCGAGGGGCTAGTTTTGGCATTGCCTGTTACCATTTCTCCTGCAGAGAGGTAACGGCCACCAGTGACTTGCCTCCCCTAGCAGGATGATGGATGGATCCTCCCTACAGAGGAGAGCACTTCTTAAACTTCAGAAAACGATGCAGAAATCTTTTCTAAAAACACAGATAAGGATAATATCTTCCAGAGACACCCTCCTAAAGATCTCCAGAGGATACCTGTAACTAGCTAGTGCTGGAAAGAGAGGGGTCCCTGGGTGTCGCTGAAGCCTTTTCACTCTTACGTGGCACAGAGGTCCTCTACAGGCTGCCCACAGGTGGCCTGAAAGTTTGCAGGAAAAATAAATGGATAATAAAGAAATAAAGGAGCAAGTATTTCGTTTCAATCCAGCTACTACAAATTCAGTTATTTCATCCTGCTCCAGGCTGCTTGCATTGGTATATTTGAACATTACTATATTTGCAATGTATGTATAGCAGTTGCAGGAATAAATTTTCACCCTCTCTTCCTTTCAGATTTCATGTTCACCCGCTGTCCAGAGATAAGTCATTCTTTCTATTTTGATCTCCTTATCCTAGCTTATGATATGGATGCAAAAAAGGGAAAAAAAAAAAAAAAGGGGGGGGGGAAGCAAAGGAAAAAAAAAGATGCTTTGGGTTAGTTGTGACAGTTTCTTGTTCAGGAGATGCCTGGGGAATATCAAGAGTGCAAATATTTTAAATATTCCTCTCTTAATGTTCCACTTAAAAGAAGTAATCTCCTTTCTATAATTATGCTAATAGCATTACTTCTTCAGTGTTTTGTAATATACAAGAAAGGGTGAAAGGCAAGCAAAGGAACTACCTTTTTTTCAGGACGGTTAACACTATCAGGGCTACGGATCTCGAATATGCAATCCCTTGCTACTGACATCAATACACACTCACAGTGATGGAGGAAGTGTAGCTGTGTATGCTTTGAATGTGTATAAGGGATGATTTATTTTCCTTTCTGTCTTTTCTCCTTTCTTTCTGTACTACATGAGAAAAAAAAAAAGTGATACGAAATCACAGCTCAGTGCTAATGTACCACATTCCGTTTCTGGCCTGAATGCATAAAATACAAAGAAATGCTGTGTTAAAGGTACAAATTCCATCCTTTGCCCCTGTGTTTGAGTGCTGCAGGGGTCTAGATCAAGGGGATGATCTGCTATTGCACGTGTACAGCAACATCCAGATACTCTGTAAGAGTCTAAAGATGCAATCCCACACCTAGTTCCTTATCTCCTTGCCTATGTGTCTGAGAGAAAATCACTAAGGATACCTAAGGAGATGTTTATATGATTTAATACACGCTATATATTTTTACGGCTAGAGCATTGAGGGACATTTGAAATGCCTATATTTGATCACTTTCTCTGGCGCTGATAAAAAGCCCGTCATTTGCTTTTCTGATGGACTAAAATCTGCTTCTTTTTATGTCTTCTTCTGCACTAACAGCAAAAGGACATGCTGAATAACCCTCCCCCTTCCCCCAGCATCTCCAATGGTATTCAGAACGGCAAAGGAGAAGGAATATTTAACCAGGAAGCTTATTGCTAGTGCTTTAAAAATAATACTAATAATAAAGGAAACAAAGAGAAGGAGACAAAAGAGAGAGAAGACTGGAGTAACGATGACTAAACCAGGTTGTTGCTAGTTTCCCTCGCCTTTCCTTTTTTAAAGATGGTTACATCTAAGGGACTAGCAGAGATGCAAAACCCAAGGCTGATGTGGGTGGAGAAAGCAGCCTTAAACACTGTGTAAGTGGAGATGAAACAGCTTCTGGAAAGGAGGGCAACACCACAAAACAGGCTTATTGAAGGAGAAAGACTACTGGAAAGCGTGAGGGCACGTGATGAAAGGAAAGGCAAGACTAGGAGAGGAGCAGAGGTGGGTCCTACGCACGCGAGGGAGATGAGATTTTGGTGTCTTCACCTCCCATGTTGAAACTGTAGCAAGAACAACAACGGAGATTTAAGAAGGATACCCAGCATCTCCTTCTCTCTGTGTCTTCTCAAAGACAGACTTTTATACCCCAAATATCTCACTTTCCCATCCTTTAAGAAACCTTCATGGAGAGAGAGGGGTGATCCTGAGATCAGCAGATTCCCACGCTCACCCTCAGACTCAGCTTCGGTATCCACAGCTACGATGACAAGCATACACGGGGTATCTGCACCCAATTTATTATTACACATCAAGGTGAGACTTTTCCTTGACCTGCTGAGGCCCAGTCTAATATGAACAAATTGAGCGTTTACATGGGTTCCTTTCCAAGCATGAAGTTGATTGGGAATTTAGGAAATGCTGGTGATTTAAAGATTAACCTTTCATATAATTACTGACATAAACTGAGTTATTAAGCTATTAGAAACAACTATTCAGGGCATATTCTATATAAAAATAGAACATACAGACTCATGGAAAAGACTTCCCATCTCAACTGATCAGCCACTTTTTTTTTTTTTTTTTGTTTACAGCAGAGAAACATGGTGAAAGTAAAGGAGTAGGTGCAGCATACCTCCGAAGTTATCCAGAAGAAAGCAAGGCTACAAAAATATTATGGAAACCAAGCAACAATCTAGCTTGCGCTGCCAAGACACAGCCTGTAATTGGGTGGGTGGCTGTGCAGATCCTAGATGAATGCTGCAGCGCCCGGTAATTTTATTGCAGTATGTCTGCTTTAAAGCGAGCATATTTGCAATGAAATCGGTATTTCTGTGTGAACCAGGCAATTGTTTTTATGGGAAAGAAAACGTCACTGGTTGGCATTCAGAAACAATTATTCAGCCTTTAAACCAATTACTGGCCTCACTCGCCCGGGCTAGACATTCAGAAATGAATTCTGAGTTCGACGCACCCATATTTGCATTGCAAGAGAAGAAATCTAGTTTAAAATAAAAATCAGACACTAGCATGCACCTTTTCTTTCAGTTCTCTTCCCGAAAATTCAAATATGTACATGCCTTGCAGAAATTAGAGATAATTGGCAGATAATTTGCTTGGCAAATGGCACGTGCTAGTCTGCTAAGGCACTTTTATTTCAAACCATCTCTCTTCTCCCATTTTTTCACCTCCTCCCCAGACACAGTAACTACTGCCCACAGAGATGTCTTTTCACGTGGACAATATGGAAGTATGACCAATATGGTTCCATTTCTGAGCTAACAAAAACTAAACCCAAGATTTCAAAGGTAACTAGTATGTATATAAAAATCTCCTTGATCACTGAATTACCATTTTTAATGCAGTAGATTTACCTGGCTGATACCACTAGAAACTAAGCATGGTCCTTCATCGATTACAAACTTTGCTCTAGCCTTTTGAAAGATATGTGCCTTTCTCCTAGTAGGAAATTACAGTAGGATAGAGTAGTAGGAGAGGACTTAAAATGGTATTTTCAGCCAAATCTGAGATAAAAAGTATGTATGGATATACCAAACTGATTAAAAGGGCTTAGCTAATTAAGGGGATGCAGCCTACCTATAATAAACCTCAGTGAAGCAGGACGCTTCTCTACTCTAGTGGTTACTAAAAGGTATAAACAAACAGCTTCCTAATAGCCGGGGACTCAAACTGGAGTTTGATTCAGGACTCTGAATATATAAACATATAAAATGCAGATTTTCCCTCTAGCTTTTTATTCCTTCTTACCCATTCTCCCATTTTGCATTCCCAGAACTTTGCAGGCAGAGTGAACCAAAAGCAGGGAACCCCCTCTCCCCACCCCACAAATGCAAAACTCAACTGCCAACCCAGCCCGCAGCTATTGAATTCCAGCGGTTTTTATTCTTTTAACAACTGCCAGCACTTTGAAGCGCTTCCGCTCTCGACCCTGTTTGCAAGACTAGAGCTAAAGCGAGCTCCCCAGAGTAAACCCGACGCTGGCTCCGTAGTTTGGTGCTCCTACCGACGGTTTGTCTTGCTAAGAGAGACTAGTAAAGGTTACAGGATGTTAATAATAATGAGATAAACCACCTAGGGATGTTTCCCCTCCATTTTTAAACTTGGCTCACTCCAAAAGTTTATCTTGATGGAAAACGTACTTCTCTGATCCTGATTATTTCCCAAAGCAATTTTCCAACAGCAAACAGAAATTTGTGGCAGCTGCTAAAAGGGTTTCTATCCCTGCGCTAAAGAGGACACTGGATGTCAAATGTTTACCTTAATTTCATGTAAATGTCACTCTGTATTGGACATTCTGTATTTTTTTTAATCTGCAGCTGCTTCCATCCTCGCAACCCTTAGCAGAGAGCTACAAGTACCTTTACCAACCACACAGCGGCCGATCCTATTGGCAGTTCAAATACCTCCCCACAAACTGGATGCAATTAATTTGCTATGTAATTGCTGCAGTTTTAACAAAGTGAGCGCGTATCGTATGGCCTGAAACACCAAGAAATAATGCAGACGATAAATAAGTAGAAGAAATGTATCCGAAACACCTTCTGCAAGGGGGGGGAAACCCACAATACAAAATACACTGGTTATGACAATGCTCGAGCTTGTAAAAGGTAGAGGGCCCTGAGCATCAACTGCAAACAGGTGAATTACACAGGACAGAGCAAAAAAAGGAGATGATCTGCAAAGTAGGAGGCCCACAAAATGAGTTTATAGAATCGTGTGTTTGCAATGGGGAAAAGAGCGATCCACGAAGTCCAGCAAAGACAAACCCTGAGCCTATTCCTCTCTCCGTCTCTGCCTTGTCATGGTGGGATTTGGGGGCATATTTTTTAAATCTAAACTATTTTACTTCTATCTGCTACACACACATAGCACTGCATCCCTGCAGTTTGTGCTTTTTGTTTTATGTTAAATGCGCTGCCAATGGGTGTTTTTGTGAAGGGCGGCACTTCCAGCCTCTAGTGAACCCTTACTGTATTCCTCCTGTACATGTACTTCCCTGATTACAGCAACTGTTAGGTCTTACATCCTTCTTGTTGGTGGAAGGAAGATCTTCCACCTCAGTTCCTCTTCATACAGTGAGTTATATTCTATATCTTTCTAAAAAATGGAGTTGAAAACTCTTGTTTTTTCTCTCCGGTTATGTTTTCCTCTTATGTAGAATAACATAGCCCAAATCTGTCATTTTTCATTAGCAACAAAGGACTCAAGCTATGGCTGTTAATGACAACTCTTAATGAGGTTTTTGATGAGTGAGTCCTGAAAAATCAAACCTGAGATAAACACTAAAATCCACCTCAAGCCCATTGTTTCCAAGTAGTAGAGATACTAACAAATGGGGTATAAAAGTGAGGATGTTTAAAGCAAACCAGTGCATTTAAAACAACAAATCGCTTAAGCGAGCGAGGCTTAAGCAAGGCTTAAGCGGTGCGCATTGAGCAATTTTAAAAGGTGCAAAAACAAAGAGGTGCAGCTGGTAAAACATGCAGATTTGTAGTAAAAGTAGCTGTTGCACCAAAAGATGGATAACTAAAGCATGCTGAAGTTCCCCCTGTTTAGAGTTGGTTAGGGATGATTATAACAAACAGACTCACGCAGAATGACAAATAACTAACTAGTAAATCTTATCTCAGTGGCTGCTAAGGTAGTATCAAGACTAACTAAGGTCTGTGACGTGGTATAATAAGGATAAATTGACCTAAATTCCTGAACTTTGGACTACTGTTACCTGCTGCAGGCCTCATGGACTCAAAGCATTTTGGCTAACACCCAATGTTTGACTGGAAACTCTCTACACGTGATTGGATTGTTATATTGCTTAATGTGGGGTCTGAGGAATGCCCGACAGACTGAAAAAATCATAATTTAGGGACTACCATAATGCAAAAGCTGGAAAATCTTATCAAAGTGGTCTAATTAAAAAAAAAGACAATTTTATATTTGGGCTTCTGACAAAACGCCACTAAAAGAGATTCAGATAGTAAGACAAAAAAGATACGCTCTGTGATTGTGGAAAACCAGCTATGTGACCGAAAGCACAGTGGCCCTTTTACAGCAAAAAAATCGAGAGCAGTCTGTCTGCTCCCAAGGCCGGTCTTGCTGAATCATCCTAGCGACGATCAGGAAACGTGTGGCCACGTTTTTCCAATGACAGATTATTTATGTTGCAGAAAGTAATGAAAATCAGGCGGATGTGCAAAGGGACTTCCAAAGGCTGAAGATTACATAAACTTTGATGGATGAAATTCAAAGCTGTCAAATCCTAAGGAGAAAAAAAAAAAAAAAAACAAGTAGAAGGAAAATTGTTCATCCATACCTTTGAGGTGTAAATTATAGGCACTAACGGAACAATTACCGTTCTGGATAGTTCACTGAAAAACTCTGCTTGGTATGTGAAAGCAAAAAAAAAAGGGGGGGGAGAAAAAGAAAAATGAAATAACGTTTAAAATGTGTATGGAAGTGAATAAGCACTTAAACTAAATAGCCTGCTATAAATCGCTACTACTCCATCAGCTAGAAAACCGTCCCCAGGTCTCTTAAAGCGAAAGTTAGGAAAGGATATAACTCCTAGACAATGTTAAGCTACTGGAAAGTAAAAGGATGAAAGATATGAAAAAGTTCATACGTAATAAGAGATACGAAGAAACTGGACCTACAGCTGCAGCACAAGAGCAAAACGTGTATCCATTCCCCCTCTAGCGGCCAGTCCACATAGGGCTATCATGAAAAAAAACATCATAAAAGTGAATGGCAATATGCTGGCAATTGGTCTGAAAACAAGCACCCTCCTCCCCGCTCTTTGAACCCCCACACTGTGCGTATCTGAGCATCCTTTTCACGCTGTTTCCCATCGCGTTATTGTTACATCCTATTTCCTCATTAAACCGTCTCGTGTACTCCTTCGTTGTCTCCTGTTCTGTTATGCAGAGAATAAGCTGTTTTATAGTAATCTTTTTGCAATCTGCTAGCACACACCTGCAAGGGGAGGATCTGGAACAGGGGCCCATATACACTTCAGCACCCGAAATAGTCGGGACATTACAAGACCCTACTGATGCAAAAGAAATCAGCAGGCATTAAAAAAAAGGGAACAAAAATGTACAGAAGTGGGAACGTTGACTTAACAGTGCACATACACAAACAAATAAAATCTTTCAGATTAAAAAATATATATGTATATGCATGTGTACAGTGTTTAAGCCGGAAGGCTTAGAAATAAGGCAAACACTCTCCAGAGGAGGTGGGAAAGCAGTAGGTGATGTGGGCGGGACGGTGGAAGGGTAAAGCTTGGACCACAAGTCTGCGGTCCAGTAACAGGGAGGCACATTAGGCCTGGCTCAGTCTGACAAAATCTGTCCTCCCTCTCCTTGAGATGCCATAACATGGTCGTTTCCAAAACAGAGGCCAGCTAGAGTATTCTTGACAAAAGGCAAAGGAAAATGGGCTTTTTTTAGGAAGCCACAATAGCCTTTGTGGGTCACACAACACCAAATGCAGCCTACTGTTAGTCTAATATTCAGGAAAAGATACTCATTTGTTTCTCAGCATCTGCTTCCCAAGAGAAATGGAAGTTTTTGGAGAACGTCTTCTCTTCTTGAATGATAATGTCTCAAGTGCCCAAATAACTTCTGCACTTTATGGGGAAGGCCTTCCCAGCTTGTGCAAGACCAGCAGCTGGGACAACACGCAACCTGGGGTGGACACGGTCCTTCTCACTGCCTATTCGTGGACCAGTCAACGCAAAAGGATGACTCTTAACTCCAAGGAAACGCCCAGGATGTTTCTAAACAAATCTTATAATACAACACACACTCTTGCATGCATTTTAATAAACAAAGCAAGCATATGTGGTGGAGTTGTGCCCTAGGTTGTTCTGCAATTGCCTAGTGAGCATCTTAAGGCCTTGCCCTGCTGTATCTTTGATGGTGGCTTTTGGCAAAGATTAAATACTAGTTTAGATGGACCTCACAGCTGGCTCTTTAATGTTAACTTTAATCTGCTGTTATTAAGTCGTTCAGCAGAATGACACAGTAAAAAGGCACAGGGTGACTTCTCGTGTCTTAAATTTAAAAACAGGAACCCATTTCCAGTGTGTCTTAATAATTTTCCCTTATTAAAATATTTAGAAAACAGCTTATTCAAATGATTTGTATATAATAATGTGAGCAGCTCACTCTTCCAGCATAAAATGAATCCATTACTATCCACACTCACTGCAGATCTGGTAGTCTATTCTTCATGGATGCAAGGTCAGACAACACTCGTATTCATAACATCCACTGTCAAGACAGAGTTCAAAGAATAAGAGCACAAGGAACTGTACAGACGATAAACAAAAAAAGGCACTTGACTACCCCAATAATGGATGTAAGATAAGAAAGAAAAATGTACAGAGAGACTTATAGAAAACTGGTCTCTGCTCACTGCGCAAAGAAGATATCAAGTCACCAAGGGTATCTTTTTTTTTCCACCAGTACTTACAGAGAGGCATACACCTACTGCTGGCAGCTCCTGAAGTGACTTTTAGTGAATGGCTTTGAGCAGTCACTTGAGCACATCATACTGGGTGGGAAATTTCTGCCTATTCTTCAAGAGAAATAATATACACAATTTCATATAGGAAATACAAATTTTCAGAAATATAATTTTTTTCTCTGCCTTACTATATCAAATAATATTTTTCCCTAGATTTCTCCTCACAGTAGACCAAAGTCAAACCATGATTTTTAGCTGAAAAGCCATATCTTTTTACAAATTTAAGAACGGGGGCTATTTCTTCAGAATGACAGCCTAATATATTCTGATTCCCCTGAATACTGGGGTAAGTTACGTGTCAGGTTTCAAACTAATTCATCACTTCTTACTAATTAACAGTATCAACAACCCTTTTTTTTCATTATAGATAACACATTTTTACAGACTACCAGAAGGATTTTTTATTACTAAACTTATCTCAAAGGCTCTTCCCCGATATCTGCCACAATTAAAAAAAACAAAAAAACATTCAATCATAATTTTAACGGTTGATCGTTTTTTTCCCTTCACTAAAATTAAATCTTAAAAGCCATTTAATTAAACTGAATCATAATTGAATGACTTTAACCATGCAAAGAATTAAAACTGCAAACCATACAACGTGGCATGACAATGTTTGACCACAAGGAAGCAACCCCGAACAAAACTAACTTTTCAGAGCAGGTATTTCTTATGCATAAATAAAGCCTTTTGAAATAATAGCATTCCTTCGTATTTTCAGTTACAAACCTGTCACCTTCTGTAACATGCAGAACAACTACAGAGCTGGTGCTGTGATCAACAGCAACCTGTAAGACTTTGAGACCAGTTCCATATCCTGTTATCCACATTCCCACCGACTATGGTAAAAAAGGACTAAACTTTTTGCTAACTACCTGCTAACATCTCTCCCTGTCATTTTTGAACACCGCCTTGCTTACAGCACTAAATTATCCTTGCTTCAGCAGCTGCTTTACAATATCGAACATTTGTGCATTCTTCGTGCAACTGTTGTATGCTAATTCTACACTCAGAGAATATACGCAACCATCTCCCCCTTTTTAATTCGGTATCATTTTGCTGCTACTTCAGATGTTTTATCTAATCTATAGCTAACATCGTATGAGTTTGCTTCCCCCCTTCAGGACTTAAAAAGAGAAAGTTTCTTTCTGCTTCGAAAATAATTTGCTGAGTTCTTTCTGCCTGTAGTCTGTGCTTCTGGAGGATTAAGGAAGAAATTTAACCACTGAAAGGACAGGAAAATACATTTGCAGACGTAGCAGTCTTGCAAAACCAGAGTGCAGAAAAATATTCGCGCTGCTATTGAGTAGGAAAAATCGTTTCACAAACTGTCCCAAGACCCTTCCTACAGAGATTAAAAATACAATGATGCAACTGTTACATGACTCCTTTCAACTGCTTATAACGCCAGGCCTTCTTCAGCTCCATTCGTGTGATTATGCTCTCAAGATTATTTCATGCCTCTCTCTTGATTCATATATTTATCAATGGATATTAGGCGCTTTTTTGCAAGGTGAACATAAGTTATTCAGAGCTGTGAAAATAAGAAGCGCTCCTTGATGCATTAGTCAGGTTTCCTTCACTACAAAGGCATCTATGGGGACTGAAACTCTAGAAATCACCTTTTTTGAAACTCTTGCCAACTACATAATTATGCCTTAAATGATTCTGTGCCAGGTGGCTTTGGCAAACAGATGGAATGGTATATTTGTTCGCTCTTCATAAATCAAGCTACGTTCCAAAAATTGTGAGCCAGAAGTATCTAAATTATTGATTGACAGTTACGTATGCCTAATAATTAATTAAAATCTATGTACAAATTGCAGTGAGTCCTGTGAGCACTTAAGGAAAAAAATCATGTAGAAAACGTATGATAGTATCTTCCTAGTAGCTTTTTTAAATCGTGGCAACTATGAATAACTGTATGGAAAAAAGTATTACAGACAACAGAGCTTTGGTATGAAGTGTCTTAGAAATGCCTAAAATAGGAAACTTTTATATAACATTTAGAGTTGTTCATGTAAGATTATGTTTCCAAATTCCACATTTCGCCAAATGCCTACTAAAATCAACTAGGAGTTTTGACCTGAACTAACGAATGTGGGCAGGCTCGCATTCAGGGAATGGCTTAGAAGACTCTTCCCAGATGCCGCAGGCATATATTAACTGCCATTAATATTATGGGCAGAGAAATCAAACTGAGGCCAAACCATCAGACCGCCATTGCTCTACACATCTTGAATCAGGAGTTACCTAAGGCTCTAGTATTTCCAGCCAGGAAATCCCAAATGGAAACAGGGACACGTTTGCCATTCAGCGTACAGGCAGTGAGCGCGTTTCATCTGGATGCGTCAAAATGACTGCGTATGTGCCGAACGGGCAACCAAGGCAGCAGCAGCAAATCCAGGGCGTTCTGCAGGTGCTGCACTTCGAGCATATATGTAGATTAATCGTGTGGGGGATGCACAGCAGGCATTTCAGACCGACGAATGACATGTGTCATCAGTTATTCTCATGTCCAAATACACTGGATTTGCTGCTGCTGTGCAGATCTGCAGTGCCACGCAAGACATCTACGGTGGAGCTGACTCCATTAAGCATTCCCCTATATTTCTGCAAACATCATTGATTTTCCAGCCCGTACAATGGAACCTCAACAGCGTCTGCTGAACTAAAGGGTAACAACGAACATATTTCTTATTTTCCCACAAATGGGAAAACAGTCATTAGTTAAAAAATACAAAATAAAAAAAGATTTTTTATCGTAGTATATTAATAACTCTACTTCTGCTATCACAGAGCTGAGCCAGAAACATTGATTTAAGAGGCACTGTGAAGCAATTACCATAGTAATTATCATGCAAATAATATTAGCCTTTTTTTTTTTTAAGTACAGTTTTTGTTTTGGCTAGCATACCACAGTAACAGATACCAATAAGATTGGATAACTAAAAGATGTTTAAAGTGCTGAAATGTCTAAAGTGTCATATGTGACACCAAACATAGGAAACAATAGTTCTCAGACTGGTCTGTTGGCCTGCCTGGGATTTTGAAGTATGGACAGCTTAGAAAGTCAATGAAGTGACCACTTAGACAGCAAAAAGAGAGTACTGAAGAAATAAGAGTGAAAGAGATTCAGGAAAGCGCTCTTATTAGCAACATTTAGTGACATTAGCAAGGAGCACTTTGGAGAATAATATAGATTTTAAGCAACTTCTTAGGAAATAGCACTCGCATCATCACTCATTCCTTTGCCCTTAGTCGTCATAAGAAACATTTTATTTCCAGTAACTAAGTTTATCATTTCGAGTAACATACAGTCAGCTATGTATAGCACAGAACTGGAAACTTGCTTAGATTTAGCAAAGTGCGAAATTACATATTCAATTTCATGAGCTGTCCTACAATCTTCTTGTCCCGCATTGGTCTTTACCTAAATCTCCTAATTTATCTGCTCATCATTTCACTGTCAGAGAA